CCAGCTAGGTGCGGTGAGGTGAATCAGTTCAGGGGAGTTGATACTCCATATACTTACTCGTGCTCTCTCCAAATCAAATTAAGCCCATTTTCTCCCAACCAAAAGTTAAACCAAACCAACCAAACAGCCCCGGGGAATCGAATTGAAAAAAGCTGCCGTCGCTATATGCACTGGCGAGGAATCGGACCCCGATCCGCTGTGGCCAAGATGGGGGTAGTAGTGAAATGAGCCGGCGGGGGTACTATACACAACCAGTGCTTTCTATAACTCTTTTTGAACCGGGCTAGATCAACCAATTAATCTGAGAAGTCCCGGGAGATTTCAAGCTTGCGCTCACTTACTTCCAATTCAACATGTTCACCACAGCCCCCAAGATTAGCTGCCAATGGACACTACAATAAAATGGTAAATACATGCTAGCTCAGCGTTTTCATTCCCTCGAACCAAAACAACTGCCTTCACCCTCATATATACACCAGCGGGGAATCGAACCCCGACTCGCCGTGATATTTCTTCTCCTCATGGAATTGGCCGGCGCGTGTACCACACACTCTGGTGTCTTCTCTTCTCCTCTACAACATCTCACTGGGTACAGTCTCGGTGTTTTCTTTTTCTTCAACTGCCCCCGGGATCCGCAATGCCCTGTCTCACAGAGTGAGAGCGAGTGAACCTGTATACATACTTCTTCACGCCCCTCCTTGTCTCTAATCAAATCCAATTTCCCTCACAACCCAGCCCAATCTTAGCCCAACGGGAATCGAATTGAAAAAGAAAAAATAGAAAAGAAAAAGCAGTCGATGCAAACATGCACAGTGCACTGGGGGGGGGGGGGATTGAACCCCCATCCGCCGCGGCCAGCCAGATGGACCAATTTCTTAATGAGCCGGCGGGTGTACCATACATAATCAATGCTTTCTACAGCTTTATTTGAACCTGGCTATCCTAGGTCAACCAACTGTGTGGAGTGAAGTTCCGGGAGATTTCATTGTTAAGCTTGCGCTCACTTATTCAACATCTTCAATACTACCAAGTTGTTGTCCGATCCCATAGTTGAATTCAATAGAATTCCTCAGTGACCATAACAGCCGTCATTTGTTCACCTTTGAAAGAAGATACCGAGGATGTACGCAATGACAAAAATACATACCGGCTCAGCTTTTTCAACCAAGAGGGTCAATCTGTCGCGCATACACCAGCAGTAACCATATGAAGTTTGTTTAAGCCAGTTGCGTCTCAATGTATAATCCCACTTAATCAATGCTTATTTAAACACTAAGCCACAGCACTAATGTTGTTGTTCGTGCTCGAAGTAGAAACAATGATCGATTTAACCATAGTTTATCCGAACAGCAGTTTAAACCAAAACAGAGACGAGCGAGGAGATAGGATTCTCAGCTGCCCAATTAACGCAGTAGGAATGAACACGAACCCAAAAGCCCATTATTCGAATCCTGTGAACGGAATAAACCTGGATTATCAAAACTGCATTCAAATCAGCACGAGCTCACCGTGTATTGGCGGCGGACAAAGAAAAGGGCTTGAGTGGATCAACAAATCAGGACAGTGGTCAATATGCTCGAAGTACACACAATGATCGATTGAACGATGGTTTATCCAAACAGCTGTTTAAACCAAAACAGAGACGAGCGAGGAGATAGGATTCTCAGCCGCCCGATCAACATAGCAGGGATGAACACGAACCTAAATGCCCATTATTCGAATCCTGTGGATGGAATAAACCTGGATTATCAAAACCGTGTTTAAATAGTCTGCTCAGCTACTGCCAATGAATAGACAAACACGAGGAAAGGTAAATTGGATCATACCTTCAATTCTTCGATAGGATGGTGTGTAATCGGGAAACCTTTATCCCGAACAAGACGAAACGAATTCCACAGTTTCTGTCCTTGGCTTCCGCGTCTATCACGCAACAAGCCTGAGTCGGAGCATTCAGAGCATTACCGCTTGATCAAATTGAACTCTTACGATGACGAGCCCCCGAGCTGGATGTGGTCCTTCGGTTCGGGGGTGCAGGCGCAGACGAGCTCGGGGACGACGCAGACGCAGAGGGCCGGCCAAGGCCGAGTGCGAACGAGTCTGCGCGTGGGGGGAAGGCCCCGGGGACCAGAGCCAGATCTCGGGTTCGGGCTCGGGCTCGCTGGGCCTGGTCTCGATGCGGACGAGGACGCGAACGCGCCGCCGGGCACCAAAGACGCGGGCACAGGGACGGACGGTGCGCTCGAGCCCGAGCTCGAGAGCGAGAATGTAGAGGCTGAAGGTGGCGCCGACGAAGCGAAGGAAGAGGACGGCGAGACAGCGACAGGCGAATACGCATGCGGGTCCGCCGCGCGCGCCGCGCCGGGGGGGCGTGTGCCCGGGCCCGTGCCCGCGGGGTACACCCACGCGTCCCCGCTCGTACTCGTACTCGTCGCGGGATACGTTGTCCACTGCGCGTCGTTCGCGCTCGTCGCGGGCAGCCCGCTACTCTGTGCCCCGCTGCGGGGCAGCGCGGGCAGGCCCATCGTCAGCGTCATAGTCGACCCGGACCCGGACCCCGAGGCGGCGGAGGAGAAGGAGAAGGCGGATGCGTAGGAGGAGGTCGCGGAGAAGGCGGACGATGCACTCGCGCTCGTCAATGGAGATGGGGAAGGGGGGGGTATTTGGATGCGGATGCGGATGCGGATGGGAATGTGAAGAGGGAGTGGCACCGGTATTTAAATTTATCGACATAGCCGTATGTGACGCAGTCGAATTCGAATTTGGATTTGAATGGGTATGGGTATGGGCATGGGCATGGGTATGGGTATGGGAATTCGGCGGCAGCACAGTCGCGGTCGACGCCACGGAGAGGACAGAGGACGGCGCGGTCGCGTAGATGGTGGAGGGTGTGGGGGACGGGTCGGGGTCGGGGTCGGTATCCGCATCAGTGGCTACTGTAGGAGCGGGAGTCCCCTCATGAACACTACTCGGCCGCGACCAGTTGCGCCCCTCGCCCGCCGTCTGCGACCGCGTGCGGCGCAGGGGCAGCGGTGCGGGCTCCATCGGCGATATCGGCGTCGCCGGGGTGAAATTCAGCGCCGGATTCGTCGTGGCGAGTCGAGGCGGCGGCGGCGGGGCGCGCGAGGGCGGGGGCGGGCGTGCGGCGCCGATGTTGCCCTCGCTCCGGCGCGCGATAAGGTGCTGCTCGCTCGCGGGGCTGTCGCTCCCGTCGCTCTCTGGGTCCTCCCCCCGCGCGTCCGTGAGCCCGAGCCCAAGCCCGAGCATGGGGGTGGACATGTACGGCTTCGCGCCGGCGGCGGCGGCGGATGCGTCCATGGAGTACGCGGTGCGGCGCATGTACGGACTGCTGCAGCAAATTGGAAATTAAATTAAATTGGGCATGGCGACGGCGACGCACGGGTCCTGCTGCGGGGCACGGCCGGAAAAGACCTTGTGGAAGAGCTTGCTTGCGCGGAGGTGGAAAGACGACTGGGTGCGGGTGTGTGGCTGCTGCTGCTGCATGACGGAGCTGGGGCGCGGACGGTCCATCATGCCTACCTTTGTGGCCACCTTGTAGATAGTGTTGCCTATTCGTCGCTCTCTCGTGTCCGTGGTCTGAGCTTCAGACTTCACGTCGAGTACACGAGAGGGGCTGAAATGAGCCTAATTCGACGCTTGGACCGAGAGAAACCCAAAAAGTATTACGACACGATGCTGAGTCATTCATGCCTGCTCCATCGCGTAACACGCCTCTTTGCGGACTCTCAGTGACGACATCTTTCCTTGTCCTATATTTCACCTCCTCCCACTGCACCCGCCCCCGGTCGATCGATGTTGAGACAATCCCGCGCATTTCATCGCCGCTCGTCAATGTTCGACATTCGATGTTCAACAGCAGTTCAACAGCAGTTCATCGACCCTGCCACGCACGCCCAGCTCCAAGCTGAACCCACGCTCGCACCGCATACCCGCTTCTCGCCGTCCGGTGTATTCTTTAATCTAGTCTGACGCCGCCGTGCGGTCATCAATCTGCCTTGCCTCAACTGCGGAATCTATTCTGGGCTCTCACCGTTCTCGAGATTAGCGCCAATGGACGCTACGATAAAAATACAGTCCCCTCGAACAAAAGACTCTGTATCAACGTCGCTCCCATACACCAGCGGGGAATCGAACCCCGACTCGCCGTGGGAATTTCATGATCTTGGGGAATTAGCCCGGCGCGTGTACCACACACCACTGGTGTTCTCCTCTGCAGCACAACATGAGTACTGAGCAATGCTGAATGGTAATACATCTTAAGCTGGTCGTCGCCGCCTGCAGTTAGGTGCCCTCTTCCGTCCTTCCGATCAACTCCCCAGCAAGACGCACCTCAAAGTTTGTCTGCTTTTGCTTTTCCTCGCAAAAAGCCATGCGTCGAAGCCACACACCAACGGGGAATCGAACCCCGACCCGCCGTGGACTCTGGTTCCCAATTCGGCTCAACGGCGCGTGCACCACACACCACTGGTGTTTCTCTTCCCTGTACTGTACTCACTTAGACTGGGCCGGCCGATGTTACATGTATTGCCTTGCCTTGCCTTTACCTGCTCCAACTCCTCACTCGTGCTCTTGTCTCTAAATCAAATCCAATTTTCCTCACAACCCAAGCCAAACAGGATGAGATTGGGAAATTAAAAAAATTGGAAAGAAAAAGCAGTCAATACAACCCGTACAGTGCACTGGCAGGGAATCGAACCCTGATCCGCCGCAGTCAAGCTAGAATACCACCTAGTGAACCAGCGGGTGTACCATACACGACCAGTGCGTTCTCCACCTCTTATTTGAACCTGGCCAGATGAGGTGAGATGACTCGGAGGCAAGTCAGTTCAGGGGAGTCGATACTCTGTATACTTACTCGCACATCCTTGTCTTCAAGTTCGAATCAAATCAAATCCAATCTCCTCACATCTTGGTCCAACCTCGAACCGGGGACTCGGATCGGGGAGAAAAAAATTAAAAGGGCGAGTCCAAGTTTGCACAAATGCACTGGCGGGGAATCGAACCCCGATCCGCCGCAGCCACTCTGGATGACGGTTAAATGAACCAGCGGGTGTACCATACACAACCAGTGCTTCCTACAGCTTTATTTGAACCTGGCCAGATGAGGTGAGATGACTCGGAGGCAAGTCAGTTCAGGGGGCCAATACTCCATATACTTTCCTTGCACAAAGTTTTGTCTCCCAACCCATTTTCATCCAAAGCTAACCAAACCATTGAACCAAACTGGGAGTTGAGCTTTAAAAACACGAAAAGAAAAAGCTTCCGACACAGATAAGTACACTGGCGGGGAATCGAACCCCGAACCACCACGGACAAGATGAGAATAGCCCTATCAAACGAGCCGGCAGGTGTACCAGACACAACCAGTACTTTCTACAGCTTTATTTGAACCTAGCCAGGTGCGGTGGGGTGGGTCGGTTCAGTCAGTTCAGGGGATTTGATGCTCTGTATACTTACTTGCACAAATCCTTGTCTTGAAGTTCAAATCAAATCCAATTTCCTCACATCTCCAACCTTGAACCGGAGACTCGGATCGGGGAGAAAAAAATTAAAAGGGTGAATGCAAGTGTGCAATACACTGGCGGGGAATCGAACCCCGATCCGCCGCAGCCACTCTGGATAACGGTTAGTGAACCAGCGGGTGTACCATACACAACCAGTGCTTTCTATAGCTTTATTTGAACCTGGCCAGATGAGGTGAGGTGACTCAGAGTCAGTCAGTTCAAGGGAGTTGATGCTCTGTATACTTACTCACACAAATCCTTTAATTGTCTTCAAATCAAATCAAATCCAATCTCCTCACATCTTGGTCCAACCTCGAACCGGGGACTCGGATCGGGGAGAAAAAAGTTAAAAGGGCGAGTCCAAGTTTGCACAAATGCACTGGTGGGGAATCAAACCCCGATGTCAGCAATGGCCTCTGGGTCGGCTAAACAGCGAGTAACCCGACGAGAACCCCAACCAGGAGAAACCCGATAGACGCTAGTAACTCGTGTGTTCCCCGAGCAGTAGGACCAGTCGTACGGCGTCCTCCCTAGGAGGCCGTATGTCGTAGGTCGGGATGCGAGCCGGAACCCGGAACGAGTCGAAGAGGGTGTGATATCCACTCAGGTACAAAACCCGGGGCGTAGATACAACCCGTAGTACGGTGCGAGGGAAGCGGGGCAGGGTGGAGACAATGCCTATGTCAAGCCAAGGTAGAAGCCTGAGATTAGACGAGGTAGAATCTACTGTACATGGAGATTCTACCGTGCTTATATAGGCTTCTAATAAATTAAAGTGATCGCGGTCAATCGCGATCAGTTCCTGCACCGTAGCATTAAGGAGCATTAATGCTGATGCTCCTGGACTCCTCTGTGTTGGTTTCCGTGGCGTCGGTGGACCTAGGAGACCCGATGTTCGGGTTTCCTAGTCCTAAGTGTCATCGTATCCAGTGGTTCAAACCCCGATCGGGTTTGCAACCACTCCTGTACTCTGTGTACTCTCCTGTGTCAGCTCTTGGTGCGTCCGGGGACTAGAGCCCGTCTGTATGGGTTCCTAGTCCCTAACGTCTTCTGTATTCCGTGGCGCAGACTCCCTGAGTCTGCGGCTTTAGAATCCGAGGCCGGGTTTCAACCGTGAGAAGGTCACGTGGTGGCATCATGAGAGTCCCGTGCCGCTAAGACGCGTCTGTATCCATACGGACGCGTCGCGCGAAAAAGTAGAACCCGGGTGATTCATGACACCCAATCCACCGCGGACAGGATGAGAACAATGCCAAAATGAGCCGGCAGGTGTACCATACATGACCAGTGCTTTCTACAGCTTTATTGGAACTCCACCTAGCCAGGCGCGGTGAGGTGAGTCGGACCAGGGGAGCTGATACTCTGTACTTTACCTGGACAAAGTCTTGTCTCCCAACCAAATCAAACCCATTTTCATCCAAAGTTAAACCAAACCATTGAACCAAAGTGGGAATTGAGTTTCAAAAACACGAAAGAAAAGGCTGCACCCTACGCAGATCAGTACACTGGCGGGGAATCGAACCCCGATCCACCGCGGACAAGATGAGAATAGCCCTATAAAACGAGCCGGCAGGTGTACCATACACGACCAGTGCGTTCTCCACCTCTTATTTGAACCTGGCCAGATGAGGTGAGATGACTCGGAGGCAAGTCAGTTCAGGGGGGGCAATACTCTGTATACTTTACTTGCACAAATCCTTGTCTCCAAATCAAATTGAACCCATTTCCGAACCCCGATCCGCCGTAGTAATGTCAGGATGAGACTGTTCAAATTAGGTGGAGCGTGTACCACACGCCACTGCTGTTTCTCTTCCCTGTACTATACTCACTTAGACTGGGTTGGCCAATGTCACATGTATTGCCTTCCCTTGCCTTGCCTTGCCTTTACCAGCTCCAACTCCTTACTCGCGCTCTTGTCTCTAAATCAAATCTAATTTTCCTCACAACCCTGCCCAATCTCAGCCCAACGGGAGGAGATTGGAAAAAGAAAAAAAGCAGTACATGCGAACCAGCATAGTGCACTGGCAGGGAATCGAACCCCAATCCGCCGCAGCCAAAGCGAGATTCATCAAATGGAGTCGGCGGGTGCACCATACACAACCAGTGCTTTCTACAGCTTTATTTGAACCTGGCCAGATGAGGTGACTCGGAGTCAGTCAGTTCAGGGGAGCCAATACTCTGTATGCTTACTCGCACAAATCCTTGTCTTCAAGTTCAAATCAAATCAAATCCAATTTCCTCACATCTCCAACCTTGAACCGGAGACTTGGATCAGGGAGAAAAAAATTAAAAGGGTGAATGTTTGCACAAATGCGCTGGTGGGGAATCGAACCCCGATCCGCTGTGGCCAAGATGAGGAACAACGCCAATGAGCCGGCAGGTGTACCATACACGACCAGTGTGTTCTCCACCTCTTAATATATTGGAACCTAGCCAGGTGCGGCAAGGTGAGTCGGTTCAGGGGAGTTGAGTTGATGCTCCGTATACTTTACTATAGCTAGCACAAATCCTTGTCTCCAAATCAAATTGAGCCCATTTCCACCCTAGTTAAACCAAACGAACCAAACCGGGAATCGAGTTGAAAAAAAATTGAAAAGAACAAAGCTGGCTACGGCATGCACTGGCGGGGAATCGAACCCTGATCCGCTGTGGCCAAGGCGAGGAACAATGTGTAATGGGCCAGCGGGTGTACCACACACAACCAGTGCTTTCTGCAGCTTTATCTGAACCTAACCTAGCCAGGTGTGGTGAGGTGAGTCGGTTTACCTAGCCAGATGAGGTGAGATGACTCGGAGTCAGTCAGTTCAAGAGAGTCGATACTCCGTATACTTACTTGCTTAAATCCTTGTCTCCAAATCAATTCAAATCAAATCCAATTTCCCCATATCTCGATCCAACCCAACCTTGAACCTGGAACTCGAATCGGGGAGAAAAAAATTAAAAGAACAAAGCTGACTACGGCATGCACTGGCGGGGAATCGAACCCCGATCCACCGCGGACAGGATAAGAACAACTCTCAAATGAGCCGGCAGGTGTACCACACACAACCAGTGCTTTCTACACCTCTTATTTGAACCTAACCTAGCCAGTCGTGGTGAGGTGAGTCGGTTCAGGGGAGTCGATACCCTGTATACTTTACTTGCACAGATACTTGTCTCCAAATCAAACTGAGCCCATTTTAGTCTCCCAACCCAACCCAGTTAAACCAACCCAAGCCCAACCGGGAATTCACTGCGTTCCCACCCTATGTAGACGCACCCACGTCTACGTTGATTGACATGTGCCGACATGCGGCGATCTTCGGCTACCTACGTCTACGCCGTGTAGATCACGGCCCTTCGGCGCCGTTGATTGATGTTCGGCTACGTTCGGCTACGTCGGGTAGATGCACAGCATCTACCCGTCGGCTACGTGGGTCTACCTGCGTCTACGCTGTAGACGCACGTAGACCCACTTCGCTCAACTTAATGATGCAGCCATCTTTCTGTTATACCTTACATATGTATATGTCTGCCTATGTGCGTCTATGTCGGTCTAGGTGAGTGACCAATGTAGATATAGGTAGACTAATGGTGTAGACACACGTAGACACAGTGGTCCGTCTACCCTTCGTCTACGGGGGTAGACAGACCCTCTGTCTACATGGGGTGGGAACGCAGTGATTGAGTTTTAAAAACACGACAAAAAAATGCCGCTTGCACACAACAATACACTGGCGGGGAATCAAACCCCGATCCGCTGTGGCCAAGATTCAGATGAGGAACATTATTTAATGAGCCAGCGGGTGTATCATACACAACCAGTGCTTCTACAGCTTTATTTGAACCTAGCCAGGCACAGTGGGGTGGATCGGTTCAGGGGAGTTGATTTGATGCTCCGTATACTTACTTGCACAAATTAAATCCTTGTCACCCAACCAAATTGAGCCCATTTTCATCCAAAGTTGAACCAAACTAACCAAACTGGGAATTGAGTTTTAAAAACACGAAAAGAAAAAGGCGCAGCCGCCACAAATATATACACTGGCGGGGGATCGAACCCTGATCCGCTGCGGCCAAACATGTTCATAGGTGAATGAGCCAGCGGGTGTACCATACACAACCAGTGCTTTCTAAACCTCTTATTTGAACCTAGCCAGGTGCGGTGAGGTGAGTCAGTTCAAGAGAGTCGATACTCCGTATTACTTACTCACTTACTCGCACAAATCCTTGTCTTCAAATCAAATCAAATCCAATTTCCTCACATTTCGGTCCAATCTTGAACTGGGGACTCGGATCAGGGAGAAAAAAATTAAAAGGGTGAATGTAAGTATGCAGGATGCGCTGGTGGGGAATCGAGCCCTGATCCGCCGCAGCCACTCTGGATAACGGCTAGTGAACCAGCGGGTGTACCATACACAACCAGTGCTTTCTACACCTCTTATTTGAACTTAACCTACCCAGGCGCGGCGAGGTGAGTCGGTTCAGGCGAGTTGATACTCTGTATACTTTACTTGCACAAAGTCTTGTCTCCAAATCAAATTGAAATTGAGCCCATTTTCTCCCAACCCAACCCAGTTAAACCTGGAATTGAGTTTTAAAAACACGAAAAGAAAAAGCTGCAGCCTATGCAAATAAGTACACTGGCAGGGAATCAAACCCCGATCCGCCGCAGGCAAAGTGGGCATAACAGTTACATGTAAATGAACCAGTGGGTGTACCATACACGACCACTGCTTTCTATAGCTTTATTTTAACCTGGCCAGGTGCGGTGAGGTGAGTTGGTTCAGGGGAGTTGAGTTGATGCTCTATACTTTACCTGCACAAATTAAATCCTTGTCGCCAAATCAAATTGAGCTCATTTTGAGTCTCCCACCCAACCCAGTTAAACCAAACCATTGAACCAAACTGGGAATTGAGTGTTAAGAACACGAAAAGAAAAAGGCGCAGGCTACACAAATATGTACACTGGCGGGGAATCGAACCCCGATCCACCGCGGCCGAACCAACTATGCTGCCAATGAGCCGGCAGGTGTAGCATACACAACCAGTGCTTTCTACAGCTTTATCTGAACCTAACCTAGCCAGGTGCGGTGGGGTGGGTTGTTTCAGGGGATTGAGTTGATACTCTGTATCCTTTACTCACACAAATCCTTGTCTCCAAATCAAATTGAGCCCATTTTCTCCCCAGTTAAACCAAACCAACCAAACCGGGAATTGAGTTTTAAAAAACACGAAAAGAAAATGCCGCTGCTTGCCCAAATACACTGGCGGGGAATTGAACCCCAATCCACTGCGGACGACATGAGAACAATGACTGAATGAGCCGGCAGGTGTACCATACACAACCAGTGCTTTCTACAGCTTTATTTGAACCTCACCTAGCCAGGTGAGGTGACTCGGAGTCAAGTCAATTCCGTGTAAGTACGTCTTTGGTAAAGCTTACTTCGAATTCAACATGTTCGCCGACGTAGCTCTTGTGATTAGCCTGTTAGGACGATAAAAATCCATACCACCGGAAGCTTTTTTTCACTCCCTCGAACCAAAAAAACCTTCTCCCAAATATATACACCAGCGGGGAATCGAACCCTGACTCGTCGTGGTAATTTTATGATCTTAGAAAATTAGCCCGGCGCGTGTACCACACACCCCTGATGTTCTTCTCCTCTGCAACACAACAACGTCTCAGTGAGTACCGAGCAATGCTGAATGGTAATACATCTTAAGCTGGTCGTCGCCGCCTGCAGCTAGGTACCCTCTTCCGTCCTTCCGATCAACTCCGCAGCAAGACGCACCTCAAAGTTTGTTTGCTTTGGCTTTTCCTCGCAAAAAGCCATGTGTCGAGGCTACACACCAGCTGGGAATCGAATCCCAATCTGCCGCAGCCAAAATGGGCCGTGATCGTTGACAATGAGCCACCATACACGACCAGTGCTTTTTACAGCTTTATCCAAACCCAGCTAGGTGCGGTGAGGTGAATCAGTTGAGGGGAGTTGATACTCCGTATACTTACTCGTGCTCTCTCCAAATCAAATTAAGCCCATTTTCTCCCAACCAAAAGTTAATCCAAACCAACCAAACAGCCCCGGGGAATCGAATTGAAAAAAGCTGCCGTCGCTATATGCACTGGCGAGGAATCGGACCCCGATCCGCTGTGGCCAAGATGGGGGTAGTAGTGAAATGAGCTGGCTGGGGTACTATACACAACCAGTGCTTTCTATAACTCTTTTTGAACCGGGCTAGATCAACCAATTAATCTGAGAAGTCCCGGGAGATTTCAAGCTTGCGCTCACTTACTTCCAATTCAACATGTTCACCACGGCCCCCAAGATTAACTGCCAATGGACACTCCAATAAAATGGTAAATACATGCTGGCTCAGCGTTTTCATTCCCTCGAACCAAAACAACTGCCTTCACCCTCATATATACACCAGCGGGGAATCGAACCCCGACTCGCCGTGGTAATTTCATGATCCTGGAGAATTAGCCCGGCGCGTGTACCACACACCACTGGTGTTTCTCTTCTCCTCTGCAACATCCCACTGAGTGAGTTCTGAATGGGTAATATAGTAATATCTTGAGCTGGCCGGTTGTCAATAATCTACGCCACCTGCAGCTACGTCCTCGATCCATTTCAAAGTGTGTTTGCTTTTGCTTTTTCTCGCAAAAAAAACATCCTTCCTGGCGCACACACCAGCGGGGAATCGAACCCCGACTCGCCGTAGACTCTGATTGGACAATGGTCCCCAACCCGGTCGGCGCGTGTACCACACACCACTGGTGTTCTCCTCTCCAGCACAACATGAGTACTGAGCAATGCTGAATGGCAATACATCTTAAGCTGGCGTCGCCGCCTGCAGCCACGTACCCTCTTCCATCCTTCCGATCAACTCCGCAGCAAGACGCACCTCAAAGCTTGTCTGCTTTTGCTTTTCCTCGCAAAAACATCGAATGGCTGGTTCGACACACCAGCGGGGAATCGAACCCCGACCCGCCGTAGACTCTGGTTCCCAATTCGGTTCAACGGCGCGTGCACCACACACCACTGGTGTTTCTCTTCTCTCCTCCTCTGCAACATCTCACTGAGTGAGTTCTGAATGGGTAATATTGTAATATCTTGAGCTGGCCGGTTGTCAATAATCTACGCCACCTGCAGCTACGTCCTCGATCCATTTCAAAGTTTGTTTGCTTTTGCTTTTTCTCGCAAAAACTATCGAAAGCGCCCACACACCAGCGGGGAATCGAACCCCGACCCGCCGTAGACTCTGATTGGACAATGGTTCCCAATTCGGTCGGCGCGTGTACCACACACCACTGGTGTCTTCTCTTCCCTGTACTGTACTCACTTAGACTGGGCTGGCCGATGTCACATGTATTGCCTTGCCTTGCCTTCATCCGCTCCAACTCCTTACTCATGCTGTTGTCTCTAAATCAAATCCAATTTTCCTCACAACCCAAGCCCAACGGGATGAGATTGGGAAAAAAACGAAAAGAAAAAGCAGTTGCCAATGTATACAACATGCACAGTGCACTGGCGGGGAATCGAACCCCGATCCGCCGCAGCCAAAGTGGGCATAACGGTTACATATAAATGAACCAGCGGGTGTACCATACACAACCAGTGCTTTCTACAGCTTTATTTGAACCTCACCTAGCCAGGTGAGGTGAGGTGACCCGGAGTCAGTCAGTTCAGGAGAGCTGATACTCCGTATACTTACATACTCGCACAAAGTTTTGTCTCCCAACCAAATTGAGCCCATTTTCATCCAAAGCTAACCAAACCATTGAATCAAACTGGGAATTGAGTGTTAAAAACACGAAAAGAAAAAGCCGCTGCCTACGCAAATAAGTACACTGGCGGGGAATCGAACCCCGATCCACCGCGGACAAGATGAGAACAACTTCGAAATGAGCCGGCAGGTGTACCATACACAACCAGTGCTTTCTACACCTCCTATTTGAACCTAGCCAGGCGCGGTGAGGTGGGTCGGTTCAGGGGAGTTGATACTCTACATACTTACTCGCACAAATCCTTGTCTCCAAATCAAATTGAACCCATTTTCATCCAAAGTTAAACCAAACCAACCAAACCGGGAATCGAGTTTAAAAAAAATGAAAACCACAAAGCTGACTACGCCATGCACTGGTGGGGAATCGAACCCCGATCCGCCACAGCCTATTTGGATGACGGTTAAATGAACCAGCGGGTGTACCATACACAACCAGTGCTTCCTACAGCTTTATTTGAACCTGGCCAGATGAGGTGAGATGACTCGGAGGCAAGTCAGTTCAGGGGGGCCAATACTCCATATACTTTCCTTGCACAAAGTTTTGTCTCCCAACCCATTTTCATCCAAAGCTAACCAAACCATTGAACCAAACTGGGAGTTGAGCTTTAAAAACACGAAAAGAAAAAGCTTCCGACACAGATAAGTACACTGGCGGGGAATCGAACCCCGATCCACCGCGGATAAGATGAGAATAGCCCTATCAAACGAGCCGGCAGGTGTACCATACACGACCAGTGCGTTCTCCACCTCTTATTTGAACCTGGCCAGGTGCGATGAGGTGAGTCAGTTCAGAGGAGTTGATACTCTGTATACTTACTCGCACAAATCTGAATCCTTGTCTTCAAATCAAATCAAATCCAATTTCCTCATATCTCGATCCCACCTTGAACCTGGAACTCGGACCGGAAAGAACAAAATTAAAAGGGTGAATGCAAGTTTGCAAATGCACTGGCGGGGAATCAAACCCCGATCCACCGCAGACAATATGAGGACAAAGACTAAATGAGTCGGCGGGTGTCCCATACACGACCAGTGCTTTCTACACCTCTTCTTATTTGAACCTAGCCAGGTGCGGTGAGGCGAGTCAGTCAGTTCAGGGGAGTTGATACTCTGTATACTTTACTTCCACAAAGTCTTGTCTCCCAACCAAATTGAGCCCATTTTCTCCCCAGTTAAACCAAACCAACCAAACCGGGAATTGAGTTTAAAAAAAATGAAAACCACAAAACTGACTACGGCATGCACTGGCAGGGAATCGAACCCCGATCCGCCGCAGCCAAACTGGGCATACCGCAGTGAACCAGCGGGTGTGCCATACACAACCAGTGCTTTCTACAGCTTTATTTGAACCTAACCTAGCCAGGTGCGGCGAGGTGCGTCGGTTCAGGGGAGTTGAGTTGATGCTCTGTATACTTTACTGGCACAAATCCTTGTCTCCAAATCAAATTGAGCCCATTTCCACCCTAGTAAAACCAAACCATTGAACCAAACCGGAATCGAGTTTTAAAAACACGAAAAGAAAAAGCTGCCTACACGCGCAAATGGCACGAAATGCACTGGCGGGGAATTGAACCCCAATCCGCCGCGGCCAATAGTCCAGATGGCTTACTACTAATGAGCCAGTGGGTGTACCATACATGACCAGTGCTTCCTACAGCTTTATTTGAACCTAGCCAGGTGCGGTGGGGTGACTCAGAGTCAGTTAGTTCAGGGGAGTCAATACTCTGTATACTTACTCGCACAAATCTGAATCCTTGTCTTCGAATCAAATCAAATCCAATTTCCTCACATCTCGGTCCAACCTTGAACCGGGGACTCGGATCGGAGAACATACATATATCAGAAAGTTCACGAAGTTCGCCGTGAACTGTGTGAACCATGTGCAGTCCGTGAACTAACCCGTGAACTGTCGTGAACCGCTTGCATAAGATGTTTGGTTGGTATTTGGCTGGCTTTGGCATCAATGTCTTCCTGTCTTCCCCCACATCGGTATGTTCGCTTTTCCCTACATTGTGAGTGCCCGCCTAGCTCCAAACATTGTGTACACTGATAAAACTACCTCTAGAACCCCCGCCAGTACTAACTATGCCACAAACTAGCCTACAACGCGTGCCTCCATGTCGGCCCCGCCAGTTCACCAATACATCCAGTGCCCTGAAAGGGACGAAGAACATCTCTGTGGAGAATGGATACTATCTAGGCTGATTTTCAGGGGATCAAAGGTTTGGTACCATGCTGGCCTAGAGTACCAAGTGGTGAGTTATCAGTCCGCCTGTACGATTTGTTTGCACTGACACCTTTCAGCACAACTGTGGTTACTTCCGCTGGCTCGCTCCGGAGCTCCTAGCTGCTGCAGAGCGGCGGGCACAAGATGGTCCAGCTGGTGGCGCTCCCCCGTTCCCTCCCTCGGACTATCCGCATGATCCTTGGGCGCACTCGCCGCCGCCGTCGCACTCTAGCACCATGGCGACTATGGCCATCGATCCTGCCCTTGCAGCCTCATCTACAGCGCCTCCATCTACTCAGCCGTGCCCTCTCTCATCCTCTTCCTCCATGCCGCCATCCACACAGCTCACTCAGTCCGGGAAACTCAAATGCGCTGTCGAACCATGCAAGAAACTCGCCGGGTCACAGTCCTGCACCTACAAGATGTGCAAGCAGTGCTGTGAGCGACAGCAGAAGGGTTGCCACTACGCAGGGCACCGCAAACAGCAAATCATCGCCCCACTTCCGTCTTCGAGCACCACGGACCTCGGTGATCCTTCTGCTCTATCCCGCCCGACCCCGATGTTCTCATATGAGGACCCGCTCTCATTGATGGATGTGCCGCCAACATCTCTCCTGCCTAAGCTCCACAAGAAGCCAATGGATCCCGAGTGGGTGTGCCGCTACACCGACATCCACACCGCGCAAGAGCAGCAAAAGATCGCGGAAGAGGAGCGTAGGAAGCAGGATCTTATGTTTGAGAGGCAGGTGCGTTTTTGCTTCTGGAATGCGGTGTGTCGTCCCATTTTTCTTTCCATCGTTTGTGATATTGACAGAAGTCCAGGACGGTGAGCAACCGGAGATGTATTGCCAGCAGGGCCTGAAGACACTGCGTCTCAACATGGCAAACTATCCTGAGCTGCTCAAGAAGATGGGCCTCACCGACACTGATGAGATTGGTATCTATAATTTCGACGGTCGTTGCTGGGATCGTGAAGACGTCAACCACATCCGGGAGGTCGTACCCCGGGAGGTCCTCATTGTGCGCCGCTTCGGGGTGAAGGATTGTCCACGCCTTGACGAGTACATTGCCAAGTATGCTCCCAAACCTGTTTCTACTCGTCGCGCACTGCCCACTGCTGTCCCTAAGCGAAATCGTCCAGTTAGCACCTCACCCGAGGTCGGTTCTCACCCATATAAAGTGGTGTGTCACTCCTCACCGCCTTCCTCTCCGGTGTCTCGGGTGTCTTCTCTGTCATCCATGTCCCCCTCTTCCTCTTCTGTGCAGTGCTCCCCTTCCCCCATCCCAAGCTTGTCCTCTTCGCTACTGTTGCCTGCCTCACTACTGTTGCCCCCCTCGCTATCATCTTCAATCTCGGCATCAGTACCCATTGACCATGACATGCTCTGGACTCAGGGCTGGGTGCTCAATCCTGAAGGTTGCGGAACATGGCCGGAGGGCATGTACGCGCGGGACATGGTAACAGGCTTCTGGCTTGTGGGCTCCAAGAATGTCGCAGATCGCTTCGCCTGTCTTCGGATGTACATTTCCCCACGGCGCCTGGTACCAGCAGCAGCGTGCATGGAAATATTCTTCGCAAGAGGAGCGGGACCATGCCGCTCAGCTCCCACGCACTTCTGATAACCTCTAGTCGACATGGAGGAGTACCTCGTTAGGATGGGTGCGGGTTTGTAAGGAGAAGAAGCGGTAGATTCATATTTATTTCTTTCTTTTGTTTTATTAGTCTCAATTTGTACGGCGTGTAGAGTAATGTGTTAAGTAGCTACA